GGCTCTAGGGAATCCTTTCCCTTCATGGAAGCTGGAGAGAAAGGATGATTTCTACAGCTTCCATAGCAGCTTGTGGAGAAATGGGGTTTAGTAGTAGTGGAGTCACATAACATTTGGTCAATAATTGGCCTGATCCTCATTTGAAATGTCACAGTACACTTTAGAAAGGATCCTCTCCCTAGCCCGCAGCTGTGAGCTCACCTGATAAAAATACGTACATGAACACTATTTGTAATTGGGAAGCAATGTAGTGGATCATTAAGAGAGCAGGCTCAGGAGTCAAGAACAACTGGTTTTGTTCATATCCTGGCTTTATCACTTTCTAGCTCCATGACCTTGGGCAGGTCATGGAACCTGCGTACCTCAAGTCTCAGCAACTGTAAAGTAGGGATAATAACAGTACCTGTATCATGGTCCTGTTGTGTGGACTAAATAAAGTAATGCAAGTCAAACTGCTGCCACTGCCTCTGCCTCTGGGGAACACATACTGGGGCTGGGAGGCAAGGAGGTGACTATAGTTTTTTGTAGTAAACTTGTAGAACTACTTGGTTCTTTAAACTATGTATATTGATCATTTTAATAACAAAAAATTTAAAAAGTCCTTAGCACAGTGCCTGGCACATAGTAAGTGCTCAATGAACAATAGTTTTACAGCTCTGACTACTGCACTCTCATTGGCCCCCATCAGACAGTGGTGTGCTTCTGCTACCTGTCCCTTGCCAGAGGAGAACACAAGCTGGATAAAATATCAAATGACACAAGTTTTCCTTCCAGCTTCTCTCTGTGCCAGCTTTAAATCTTTCAGGGAAAGGGTCTGCACCTGAGAAGGAAGACTCAGGTTTCATGGCAGCGGAAAGGCTACACTGCCCTCTACTGCCATTAGCCCAGCTAAGGACACCAACCACCTGCCACTGGGTCAAATTCAGTGCCCTCTGTACTGGGCAAATGTTGGGCTCAATTCCACTAAACTCATCCCTTATTATTATGTTAAACTGATTAGCTACTTCAAAGTAGATAATAAGATCCACAAGCCATTAAATCCTCAGGCCCATATGGCAAAAGATTTGCCTTTTCCAGACCTCCCCCTATAACCTCTACTATGTTTCCAAACCCTCACCTACACAGAGGGAAAATAAATCTTCCATTCCTTATCCAACACAGATAGCAGTAGGTTAGAAGAGAGTTGATTTCTGACATAACAGAAACTTCTCTAGGCTCCAGATCCAAAACGTACTAAAGGGTGATTGTCAGAGGGAGGAAGAGGAGCAGGTGGAAACGTGGGCAGGCAGGGCAGATGGCACTCGGCAGTGGCTGACGCTGGAAGAGCACGATGAACCTCCCCCAAAGATAATAACATGGTTCTCCTCCTGAACCAGCACTAAGCGGAAGTAATAACAGTGGCTCAGACTATAATCAGTTTAAAGGAGGAGTATATGACAAATACCAGCTCCAAACATTTTTTTTTAAATAAGAACAAACACAAAATAAGAGGCACAGTCCAAGTAACAAAATAAATGAGTTTGGAATTCTTTTCAGCTCCCCCAGATTGTAAATCATTACTCTTTAGAGAAAGGAAGCAAAGCATTTGGGCTGTCCCGAAAAACAGTTCCTTGGTTTGGGCCAGCCACACTCTTATTCTCAGATGTCCTGAATCAGATCATTTGGTTGTCTTGTTGTGTCCTACTTCTCTGTAAGGCCTTCCTGGAAAACATCTAGAAATTTAAAAATTATGGGCAAATAAAAAAAGTATTTAATTCTCTCCTTCCACACCTCTATCGGTTGTTTTTTCCTACTCTAACACTGTCCAAACAGACGCTGTCCTGGCCTTCAGAGATGAGTCAGAGTTAGAATTCATGGCAAGACTGCCTTGAGTCAATGGTGAGCACCGTGTGACTGTCCTCAGAGGTTCTTGAGCTAATCACATAAAAAGGGTTCATTAAAACAGCATCTAACCTTTATTAATACTTGGTCTGACTGTTCACGTAGGACAGGTCAGCCAATTTTTAACAAAAGCACAGAGTCAGATTTATGAATTCTGGAGCAGGTCAGCATATACTTAACTTTCTAACTCCCTCTGACAGCTCTCACACAGGGAGGGGCAGGCCCTCTGTGTTGTGGGATGGAGCTAGGGCAGGCATTCCCACCCAGAGCTTCCCCCTAAGGCAGAGCATGGAGTCTAGAGAGTTTACGGTTATTCAAGGGCAGCTGAGGAAGGGCTCCAGGGGTATCCAGTTCCTGGCACTGACAGATGTGCCATTATGTTGACATCCACCCAGCCCTCATAGAGCAGGTGCATGAAGCAATCTTTTCATTTCATCCTACCAACCTTAGCAAGTTAAACTGTAACTATGGAGGCAGCAGGAAACTGTATCTGCCTACTAAAACTCTGGTCACAGGCTTCCAAGAGCATCACGTCCTTTCCTAGCCTTAATGGCAGGCAGGGAATTTCTTTAGAGTGAATCAAATCTATTGCCAACTCAGTGATCCTTGATACCACATCAGGTTCTCTTCCTACCCATCCAACAAAGATGGTACCTGAGGTAAACCGAAGACACTTGCCCCAACTCTGAGCTCTAGGGATCTCTCATCCTTTCCACTTATTCATAAATAAGAGGGTTATTCATTATAAACGCCACATGGTTGGGTGCACCCTGAAAATTAAAAAAAATAGTTTTTATTTTTTATCAACCAGGAAAAGAAGCCACTAAAGACTCAACACACAGGGGAACTCTTCAAAAAGAAGATGCCACAGGCAACCCTCAGTTTACATTAGAGCCACTTATTTCAACTCTGCTTCTTTCACATCTTGACGATACTGGTCATCAAGTCAGTTAACGCTTTCGCTCAACATAGCCTTCAGCCCAACAGGAGGATCTAGGGAAAGCCCAGGTTCATCTACTAATACCTTAATCATGTGGCACCTGGATTTGAATGCCAGCTCTGCCTCTTGCTAGCTTGCTAGCTGGGGCAAGTTACTTAGCCCCTCGGAGCTTTGGTTTTCTTATCAAAATATGAAATGATACATGTAAAGTACTTGGCAGCACACCTGGCACACAAGAACTGTTTAAAAAATAACTCTAGTAGATTACCCCATCTTGTCACTTTGTCAAGGCTACCTCTTCAGAACCTCTAGCATGACTGCCTTTAAAAATAGCCTATATTCTCAAGCCAAATACACAGTATTTAGAATTATGAATTATCTCTGCTTTAAGATATCCATTTAAGTACACTCCCATTCTTTTCAAAACCATTTGTAATTATTTCATCCACTGTTGCTCAAAGGAACACAATGCAACCTACTGAACTTATCCCCACTGTCTATCATCCTTATCTCCTGATCATATATCCCTTACTCATTCTGCCTTTAAGCACTTAAAATTATTCTCCTAACATCATCCTTCCTGTCTTTCCAAATTTATCCATTCTGTGGAAAAGCCCTTTTCATCAACTCCATCTCAACCTTCTTTAACTAACCAGCCATGCACACAAATTACACATTTTGACTGTGCTGTCCTCTACTGACCAAATGCAAACTCCTCTTGACTGAACTGTTTGCATGTTTCATCTCCCCTACTGTATTGACAGCTGCTAGTTGGTAGGGATAGCTTCTTTTATTCTTCAAATTTCCTTACTTAACAACGTACGCTGCTCTAAATAGTGCACAGATGTGTTGATAAATATTTACTGGTAACTGTCTACAGTCTACCCCATTCCTAAGGAGACCTAAAAGGTGGAGCTGACTCACCCTTTAGCCAGAAAGGCTTTCAGAGAACTTGCTAGGGCTCATCTAAGTGCTTTCTGAATAAGACTGTGCTTAACTTAAGGGGAAAAAAAAGAGGCTTCAATTTCTCTTTGGGGTCCAAGTGCCACATTCTCAATGCATTACAGCCTATAGACTTGGATATCTCCAATAAGAAGTTTTCTCTGTGGTGCTACTTCTAAATGATGCTACAGAGTTCATGAAAAAAATTAGGTAACATACTATGAGTTCATCAACCTCAAGAAATATCTCTAGAGCGTTACCACAGCCTGGCCTTTCCAAAACAAGCAGCATGTTAGGACCTCAATTAAGGGTGGTAGGTAATGCATTCTGATAACCTCCCACCCCCACCCTAAGCCAGGGCAATAATGTAGTTAATATGCATCAGTCCCTAAAGCCCTAAAGGAGCGAAAAACGACAGGTTCACAACTCGGGAAAATGAGTGCAGTGCCCTGGCCAGGAACACTAGTCCCCGCCTAAGACCACAGTGATGCCAGGTAGTTCACAGTTGGGTGAAGGGACTTCCACTACAGAAAGCATTGAGCAACTGGTTTTGCCTCCTCCAATTCTCATCTTCCCATTACATTTGGCTGCCTCAAAGTTCCTGTTCTAATAGGGCATGCTTAGCTTAGGGCCTGTACCACCAGGAATGGTCATAACCTGGAGGGTTAAATTTAAGGAAGAAAAATCTGGAGTTATGGCAGCTTAGAGGAAAATCTTTTGTTAGAGTGTTAAGGTGTAAAGTCTTTCCTCAAATATAGGCAATTGACTTCTCTTATATCCTGTATGACTAACATAACTCTACACAATCCTTTATAATGACTATCCAACCAATAAATCAATCCCTTGTTACACTACTACTGAATGAAGTTCCTCTTGCTAGACCATGAGAAGTAAAAGAATTCATATCACTGGGTTTCTTAATTTACCTCTTGATCTGGACCACATATAACGTACTGGTCAGAAAAATACTATTCTTACAACAGAGTAAGTTGTCCCTCAAATTAACATCAATTCTATTTTTAAAATTTTGAGAGTGAATGCCAACATGAAACAAGGAAAGACTTAACAGTTATATGATTATACAGGTGGGATGCTGGGCCTAATATCCTACATTACTAGCCAAAGAATGCATAGGAATGTTCACAGGCCCTGCCATACGAATCACCTACAACAGTGAGCTCTCAGCATCAGGGCTTTATTCAACCAACCAAAACCAACAACCAGGAACCATCATTACCTCAGCAGAGTAAGGGAGGTACTGTTTAATCACCTAGCATAGAGAGAAACAGATCAAAAAATCAAACACCTAGAAGGTTGTCTTAGAACAATCAGAATATTTAAAATCATGATTAACTCAACAAACAATTCTCACTTATTCCTCACACATGAAAAGTCAAAATATCACTTGGGCCACTCTGGGTTGTAACTGAGGAGGTAGATGGGCCATAAGAGACTGGAAAGACATCAACAAGAAGACACGCAAACAAGGTAAATAAAGTGGAAGCCCAACAACATTTAGGATAAATAACTGAGATTGTCTTTTTCCTCAGGAAAAAATCCACCCCAAACCAAAAAAAAAAAAAGAAACAAAAAAAACCCACCCCACCTCCGCCAAACACAGTAGAAAAGGTGTACCATTGTTCTACACTTAGTATATGTTTACACTGGAGGCGTGGCTGGTGATATTTTGACTTTTTTTTTATGCTAAAGGTAAAGAACTTTGTTCTTTCCAACACCCAAACCAGAGCAGAAAGACAACAGT